CCTACAAACATAACGCTGTTAGTCGGCTTCTTCGCCGAACTCCTTTAAAAGGATTCGTTCAAGCACTTACTGAAAATGCCGCGCTGAAGCCGCTTATTCTCCTTCTCGGAGTCCGCAAGCTGGCCCCGAACGTCTTTTAGTTCCACGTTCAGCTTAATATTGGCGTCTTGGAGATTGTTTTTCTCCCACCTAACCTCAGTCAGCATGCGTTTGCCAGCCTCTAGCTGTCGCGTAACATGCTGGTTCTCCGGATTCATCTCCAACATCGGTTGTTAGATTTGCAGCCATGCCGCATGTTATATGGTAACCATCATTCTTTAAAGTAAATGTTACCAGCAGGTGACTTTTTCAATTCCTGCAAGGCGGCCACAGCAGCCCGTAGTTGGGTCTTGCATTCCTCTAGCTCCTGTGACAGCCTAGTATTCTTCTCTGTAAGAACCTGCACAATGGAGATGATCCTTAAATCAGTTCTGCTAACTGTTTCAAGTCTCAGGGGCTACTGATACATATAAATCGTCAGATTTACTCACCCGTACATCCTTTACATACTGATCTATGGCTCTGGCTAGACCATCTTGAGCAGCACGGAGGTACGCCTCTCCAGAATTGAAGGCGTCAAACGCCTGTGGTGAGAAACAAGCGTCACGGAGTACGGCCCGGCGGCGCCTATGATTCATGGCGCTTTCCACTTTTGAGTTTGTAGCGGATAATCTATCCGCATCCTCTGCAGGGGGATTATCCGGCGCCTGCCCCATATCGGCTTCTGCCTCCATGTCCGGTCCTGGCGCCCGACTGGTGGAAGCGTGATTGGAAACATCGCCGGACATATTCCGGCGAGCTTTTTTTCTGTTAAAGAAACACGGGCGTCATTACATTTCGAGAAAGACGACAACCACGGAGCGGGGTTTTTCTTATACCTTTGCATCGGCGTCTCCGTCCTGGCCGCCTTCCTTTTTGGCCTACCCAGCCTCGGTGCCTCTTGTTGGCGAGTTGCTGCGGGTTCGGCAGGGCGTCCCGAATGCCTTCCCTGTAAAAGATGGCATGTGTATATGGTGGGTGAAGTGCCTAAAAGGGGATCCTAGTTTTGGAGTTGGGATTTTTGGTTTTCCTTACTTGCGATGCAGGGAGCAGTCCGGGATAGTCGGCCGTAATGGCCACCATGGCATCGTCGCAGCTTAACTGATAGAACTACCAGTCTATCAGCTCCACGAATATAACCGAATCTTCTTCAAGTCTGGAGTCGAGGGCCCGGTCCGGGTCCTCTGGTTGTGGAGAAGGGTTGCTGACCTCCTTTATGGCTTTTCGCAGTTCCTGCCGCAAAGTGGCAAGGTGAATACTTACGACAAAGAATGCGGGAAAACTGGGAGCAGGGAGATATAACTTACCCAGCTTGGAGGATTGTACATGGAGAATCCATCCCGTGGCTTGATGCGGGTGAACTCCTCTTCCTCACCTTGAACAGTTCGGACAGAATTTTTGCTAGAGCGGCAGCATTGTCCAGACCCTTATGCCCGCAGCGGGTGGCGTCATCTGCCCCGTTATAACACCACAAGGGGTGCCCACGATATTGAAGTGGTTGCACTTTCCGCATTATGCAAATCGACATAACTTCGATTACTGTCAATCCTGATCGAGCCAGTGCTTTAATCCGGTTCATCAGATAGAGGACTTATCCATTGTCTTCCACCTGGGGGCTCCGTGGGCGCCAGCTTTGGCGTTTCTTCAGAGGAGCATTGTTGAACTTAGGAAGACCCCGCCGAACAGGGTCCGGAAGGGGAACATCCTCCATATAAAACCATTCTGAAGGCCAGTCTTCGGACGACTTCTTCGGGGTACCAGACAGGTATCCGGTATCGGTGATGCGCCATATTTCGGCTCCGCCCACTTGATAAAATGACCCCCCTTGTGTGCGAGGGACGAGGCAAAATAGCCTCTTCCACAGCTTGAAGTGAGCCTCGCAGCCCAGGAACAACTCGCAGAGAGCAACATAGCCGGCGATGTGTAGAAGGGAGGCAGGGGTGAAATTGTGTAATTGGAGGTCGTAGAACTCCAGGAGCCCGCGGAGGAACGGATGAATTGGAAATCCGAGTCCCCTTAGTAAATAAGGAACAAGGCAGACCTGTTCCCCCATAGAGGGACCGGGAAAGCTCTCCGCTTGCTCCCAGCCATTGTAGGTGGCAAGCCCGGCTCGAACGGGCACCATATACGCCGGAGGGAGAAATCCCTTACTAATCGACTGTGCGGGACTGAACACCTCTCCCAATCACGGGGCTTAGGGCTACGGGGGCGGGAGGAGGAGCTACGGAGGTCGGCCATGCTGGAATGGATCTTCCCGAAATGCGCTCTGATGGATTCTCGCTGGGAGAAGATGGCATGGATTGGATCTAAGGATCCCCATCCCTTTAATAGACAATTTATTTATCTAGCTAGGGGGGCAAATGTAAAAATGCCCTGGCGCCTTGTATTCATTCGACGCATGGGAGATAGCCCTTATTGGGCACAGAAGCCAAGAGGTTCAACATTTATGGAGCCAGACACTGCTTACAAACACTTGAAAATTGGAGAAGAACCCGCCTTGCAATGCCGAAGACAACACTGCGCGCCGGACTCATCGTCATTGAAGTCTGGTTCGGGGGCTACTGAGGGAGTCCTGGATTAGGGGGTCTCCGGACAGCAGGATTATATCCTTTGGCCGGACTGTTGGACTATGAAGATACAAGATTGAAGACTCCGTCTCATGTCCGGATGGGACTCTACTTTGCGTGGAAGGCAAGCTAGGCAATACGGATATGTATATCTCCTCCTTTGTAACCGACCTTGTGTAACCCTAGCCCCCTCTGGTGTCTATATAAACCGGAGGGTTTTAGTCCGTAGGACAACATACAATCATACCATAGGCTAGCTTCTAGGGTTTAGCCTCTCTGATCTCGTGGTAGATCTACTCTTGTACTACCCATATCATCAATATTAATCAAGCAGGACGTAGGGTTTTACCTCCATCAAGAGGGCCCGAACCTGGGTAAAACATCGTGTCCCCTGCCTCCTGTTACCATCCGCCTTAGATGCATAGTTCGGGACCCCCTACCCGAGATCCGCCGGTTTTGACACCGACAATCGTCTTGTGCCAATGAATGAATATCTGAAACGCTCAATGCACACAATTAGTATGCAAAAGTATTATCATCAATCACCAAAACCACTTAGAGAGAGACATGCCCTAACAAGACGGACATGGGGTGCTTGGCCCAAACAGAAAAGTAACACACCAAACTCGCCACCATGGAACGCAGCCCAAACCAAACCAACAAGACAACAAACATCATCAGAACTACTGTCGAGGACACCGTGAGAACACAAGATGGAGCCTTCATGAAGGGGAACGATGCCGGGGCACTGTCGCCGTCCGATCACAAAGCAGGACCTAGGGTTTCCCCTGATGCTCAAAGAGGGGCACGAAAAGCGGCCATGACAGCGCCTCCAGGAAGGAAACGGTGCCCGCAGGTGTCGCCGCTACCAGCATCGAAAGGTCGAGCAAGGATTTCTCTCTGGCTGGGTCTGAGCAGTCCTAAACCGTCGAAGCAATAGTCGAGGAGGAGGAAGCCGGGTCAGAGGTCGGAACCGCCATCGCAGGAAGGGGACCAATGTTGTCGTCGAAGGAGGCATCGGGCGTTGCCGGAAGAACGAGCTAGCGAACATGCGGAAGGGCGGACGGAGCATGAGGTCGGTGGGGTTGGGCAGCCCGGCGGAAGAATGGAGGGTGCGAAGGTGGCCGAAGACCCGAACGAGCCAAGATCCGGAGAGGAGCGCAGATCTGGGCTGCCAGGATCGGAGTTGTAGGGACACCCGGTGAGCCGAAGGAGCTGAAAGGGGCACAACTCCATAGGCACACCAGAGTCGAAGCCGCACCAGGGTGGATGCCAGCCAACCACGGACGCCTTGAGGGGCGTTTGAGGAGCTGCCGAGACACCGGCAAGCCGGATGAGCCGGAAGTAGACGCAGCACGGTCGCGGCGAGCACTGGATGTGTAGCCGCTCCGGCCAACCATGGACACCGAAGGAGGGCACAGGTCCATGGCCGCCAGGGCCGAAGCCGCACCTGCAGGGTATGGGGAGGGTGAAGGGAGATCGCAGGCGTGCCACACACTCGGCCAGCGCGTTGCAGGAGGCGGTTGCCGCCGGGCAACCACCGAGATGAACCACCGCCCCCGGAGCCATGGCCGCAGCCCATGGGGCGAAAGAGCGCCACCGCGGCGCCCCTATGGCCGGCCATCCCGGCCAAGATGCCCCGGCCCCGTCCTCCCGGGATCCGGTGCCAGCAGCAGCAGGGGTGCTGGCGTAGGTGGATCTGGCGCGAAAGGTGGGGAGGGGGAGGACGCGTCGGCGAAGTCGGAAAAGGGGTGGAGGCGGCACAGAGGAGCCGGTGCGACTTCGCCTGCCGCTCCTCGGTGATTGCGAGGAGATTGGGCGAGGTGGGGAGGGGACGCGGCGGCCCAGCTACGGTTCCCCCATGCCGCCGAGGGAGGCAGCGCGGGGATCACGGTGTTGCTACAAGTGGTCTATGTTGCTACACCTTTTCGGCTCAATCTTCGGCATCACGATTTTTAAACTGCGCAACCGTGCATTATTTACACAAACGGCAGCAGAAATTCTAGGTTTATGGGAGCTGTTGGAGATGCTCTTAGTCCCTCCACAAGGATCCCAAGAAGTACCCTGGACCACCAGATTCAGCAACGATAGTTACCATCTGAACCTCCGATCATTTGCTAAATCGTTAGCATACCATATTGGCGCCGACGGATTTGAAAACCACAATCACAGAGTGAGAAGATTAAGTTCTACACTGCCACTTCAAACAAAACAGAGGCCACGCTACTATTACAGCAGCAGATGTTCATACACAAAATATGGGACAAAAAAATGGGACTAAGGCACTGACAGCAGTAACACACGATGACACGACGCGTACATAAACATAGAGACGACTACCACCTTCCAAACGACTCACTGGCCACCACGGAGGCGGAGCACCAAGTGCAGAGTGGACTCCTTCTGAATGTTGTAATCGGTGAGCGTGCGGCCGTCCTCGAGCTGCTTGCCAGCGAAGATCAGGCGCTGCTGGTCTGGCGGGATGCCCTCCTTGTCCTGGATCTTTGCCTTAACATTGTCAATGGTGTCAGAGGACTCCACCTCGAGGGTGATAGTCTTGCCGGTGAGGGTCTTCACGAAGATCTGCATCTGCATCATTGGAATTTGCAATTCAGTATTAAGTCACCAAATACATGTATAGAAAATTGAAGTCAAGTGCTTCAAAATATAATTCAGTCATGTAAATCGTAAGGACGCAGTTTAAATCTTTTCAAGACAAAACAGAAAATATGTAGTCAATATTGGACAGCTACCGAGAGAAACCACGGGATCATGCAACAGGAAGGTTTGATCTGATGTGAAAGAATATTGACTAAGAAGATTGTGCTAACAGGACTGACCATTGGAAGAGCAACGCACAGATGAGACTCATCAGAAAGACGGAAACACGGTAAACATTAGATTGGGTTTCAATCTGCAAACGACAATCCTGGCCGACAAGTTGGTTCAATCAACGTACAAACAGCAGCATCCGAGTGCAATCTACATGGATGCACAACACTATATCGACTCATCTACGACAGATGGTTCAGTGCGATCAGAGCTAGAGAACAAGATAACCGATCGACAGTTTAATCACAAGGATAGGATGCTAGATCGATCTACGGAATTCAACATGAGGCTAACTGAGA